AAAAAAAATCAGCCAGGCGTGGTAGCGCACGCCTGTAATTCCGGCTACTCGGAAGGCTGAAGCGGAAGGACCGCCGGAGCCCAGCAGGTCGAGGCTGCACTCCAGTCTAGGTGACAGAGTGAGACTTCAACTCAAAATAAAAATAAATAAATAAATAAATAAAAATTTGTTAGTCTCCACTGGGTGCTGTTAATGAACCTACTCATTGCTCATAATTACTCTTATAAAGGGAAAGAGTCAAAGATTTATCCCACCTTTCCTGTATGCAACGCATTTTAGATTAACCAGATAGTTGATAATAGAAAGTTTTCATAGAACCTCAGTTGATAAATATAGAAGGAATGATATAAAATTCAGCATTTTACTACCTAGGTCATTGGATCTAGGCCACAATCATCAATGGGGACCTTTAAAATGGAGAGATCAGGCTGAGAGTCCTCAAAGCTAGCAGTCCAGCTTAACATCAATAAAAATGGTCAACCAGTCATCGCATACCTCTTGATGGGATTCAATAAGAAGTACACAGCATCCATCAGCCATAACCTATTCTTGCTATCCAATTTCCCCAAAACTGAACCTAAATCTAATCATCTCTAGGTCTGAATAATTAGTTTATAGAAAATACAGGAGATGGGGAGGATAAAGCAAACAAATTAAGCAATATCGTGAAAAAACAGGCAGTCAAATCATGAAAATGGGACATAAGACATAGGTTCTGATTTCATAATAAATCAATGGCATAAAAAAGGGGGAAAGAGATGACTGCTAAAGGAATTTTTAAAATTTGCGAGAGAAAATGAACAAAGGCAATGCACAGACCTTGCTTGGATCCTAATTCGAACAAACCTAGCCTAAGACATTTTTTGAGAAATTTGAATAAAGATGTTAAGCGATAATAAGGAATTGTTAATTTTGTTAAGTGTAAAGGTAGTTTTTTAAAGTCCTTATGCTGAAGTATTTAATGATGAGGTGATATGAGTTCTAAAATTTTCTTTAAGATATTCTAGCAAGAAAAGCATGAGGATGGATGGGTAGGGTTAATAGAGGAATCAGTTTGGCAAAACATTGATACTTATTGAAGCCAGGTAAGGAAGTACTTTTGTGTTCAAAATGTTTCATAATTAAAAGTTTAGAAAGCAAAGTGTTGAGGTGTAAGCACTTTCTCTTTAATGCACAAAATTTTCACTGTTAGATATATAATAGAAAATTCCTGGTTTGGGTCTTATTGACCCCATGTCCAGAAAATAAAACTATATTGAGGATGAAAAACTCAGGTAGATTATTTTTTAAACCTTTTAAGTTAAATCCATTTCACAAATACAAATAGCCCAAGAAAAAATACTCTTAATAGTAATTATGAGAACATTATGAATAAGTTATGAAACCCAAAAGAAAACAATAAAGCTCTAGTTTTTGCTATTAGCAGTTTAATTTCTCATTTTAGCTAAGTAGTAAA